TGTCCGTGTGTGCAAGGGGGGGGGAGCGAGCAGGGGTGCGTGTGCCGCCGGGCACGCGTGTGCGGCTGGACACGTGTGTGTGCACGCGTGAGGGAGCGTGCAAGTGTGGGGGAGCGTGTAAGAGACAGCGTGCGTGTGTGGGAGATGGTGTGTGTGTGTGCAAGGGCATGGGAGAGTGCACGCGTGTGTGCAAGGGTGTGGGAGCACACAAGAGCGTGCACATGTGTGTGTGCAAGGGCACCGGAGCGTGTGGGGGTGTGCACATGCGTGTGCAAGGGTGTGGGAGCGTATGGGTGTGCACCCGTGTGTGCAGCCCGTGGAGGCTCACAAGAGCGGACGTACACGCGTGCAGGCATGTGGGAGGCTGCAGGAGTGTGTGTGCGTGTGCAAGGGTGTGAGTGTGTGTGTGCAAGCGTGTGGGAGCGGGCAGGTGTGTGTGCAAAGGGGTGGGAGTGTGTGTGTGCACACGAGTGGGCACGGGGGAGCGTGTGCAAGCGGGTGGGAGCATGTTGGACCCTGCGTGTGCACACGTGTGGGTGCATCTACGTGCGAGGGCAGTGTGCAGGCAGGCGTGTGCGTCCCTGTGCCTGTGCACACCCGTGGGAGCACACGCATGTGTGCAGACACACATGGGAGCGTGCACACGAGTGTGTGAGAGCACCAGGAGCTGCCGGGGCACGGGGGCCACGTGTGTCAGTGTGTGTCAGCGTGTGTCAGCGTGTGTCAGCATCACACGTGTTGTACAGCTCACACAGACGTGTTGGCACATGTTACACATGACCGTGTGTGCTGTGACATGTGCAGGCGTGTTTTGGGGCACGCGTGCGATGAGGGTTGTGTAAATGCATGCACATGCTCTGCGGGGTCTGTGCATGCATGTTACGGCGTGTTGCTGCATTCACACACATGTCACGGCAGGGTGCTGGGTGTGCATGCGTGTTGCGGTGTGTAGCTGCAGGCACACGTGTGTTATGGCATGTGCACCCGTGTTGCAGGGAGGCTACAGCCTGTGGGGGTGTCGACCGTGTGTGCTGTGACATGTGCAGGCGTGTTTTGGGGCACGCGTGCGATGAGGGTTGTGTAAATGCATGCACATGCTCTGCGGGGTCTGTGCATGCATCACACACACGGCACAGTGCTGGGTGTGCACACATGTTGCGGTGTGTAGCTGCATGCACACGCGTGTTGTGGCATGTGCACCCGTGTTGCGGGGAGGCTACAGCCTGTGGGGGTGTTGTACACGGCTCCCGGTGTCTGTGCATGGAGCGTGATGTGCACGCGTGTTGCAGGACGCACACATGTGTTGCAGGGCGTGCATGCATGTTGTGGGGCGTACATGTGTGTTGCAGGGATTACATGCCTGTTGCAGGGATTACATGCGTGTTGCAGGGTGTACATGCATGTTGCAGGGCGTACATGAGTGTTGCAGGGAGTACATGCATGTTGCAGGGATTACATGCGTGTTGCAGGGTGTACATGCATGTTGCAGGGCGTACATGTGTGTTGCAGGGATTACATGCCTGTTGCAGGGCACACGTGTGTTGCAGGGAGTACATGTATGTTGCAGGGCACACATGTGTTGCAGGGATTACATGCATGTTGCAGGGTGTACATGCGTGTTGCAGGAATTACATGCGTGTTGCAGGCTGTGCACACATGTTACTGCATGTTGTGGCGTGTGGCGGCCCTGGGCAGCCCCGTGTCCCCCCGCAGCCGCAGCTGCAGCCCCCCCAGCCCCCCCGGTC